TATTTCAAATATATGCTTTTATGTAATTCACATGTATAAATTCATGACATATAATACAGAAATTTATAACTACTAATTATTATGAAAAAGGAAATAATTTCTGCATTAATATTTCAGATATTAGATATTTAATATTGAGTTTAGGGTCTAATTTGTATTTTATGAACCAATATCCTACTCTGAAGCCTCATACTATTTTCTATCTCTTTAAAGTACCTTATTGAAGTGATTTAGACTTCCTGTGCATTCATTGGCAGTTACTAATATTAAATTTAAGACAAGGTTAATTTCCTAGGATAACAAAAAGTATATTACATTGGTTATGACTCTATTAATTCCAATTTTATAATCATTTAATTCAGAGTGAAAAAATTGATTTTAATATTAACTATAAGATGCAAGAAAATGAATGAGGAAATAAATCCCAAAGACCATATTAATTAATTTTTTTAAAAAAGATTTGCAGTCCTTCCAACAACACAGTTCATACGATAGTATTGATTCATTTGGAAGCAGTGGTTAAAAGAAAACTATTCCATGTAGTTAAAACTAACACATCTCTATTCAAAATACGAATGAGTTTTTATTAGTTCCAGTATCTCCTCTTTAGTGTAGAATAATGTAATGCAGCTAAATAGACATATTTTTATTCACATATATTTTCATAAAATTGTAATATGGAAATTGAAAAAGGATAGCCCTTCTTCAAGTCATTCCTAGTTTACATTTTATTTATAGGTAATTTTCAGGCTTTCTGCACTTTATCACCAACAATTATATTGACTAACGTAACATGTAATTGGGTTGTTTCTGAGTCTTTCAAATCTATGCTTTATTTTGACTGACTTACTGTGAATTATCTTAATAGATTATACTTTAATAAGTCTCCTATAGTCAGTAATAATTTTATTAACATTGCACATATGTTAACACATTTTGCAGACTGGTCAGTTGTGCTGCTTAAGTACTAGCACAAAAGATCTTGAAATGGTTTAGGAGAACCGCATTTCTATTAAGTAGAATGTTCTATGGTACACTGTGCATTTAGACGTTGGGTGATAAGTCCCAGCAAAGCTTTATTCTTAGAAAGGAAAGGAAAAGTTGTCAGATGGGTCTGTGCCAAGAATGGCCCCAGATACTCCCTTACACATGTTGCCACCATCTTCCTAGGTGCTTCAACTCCATAGCAGTCATAATGATTAGTCTTTGGTTTCAGAAGTTGTTACTGCCTCAAAGATTTGCCATTCCAAGTGATCTCAGCACTCATATTGCCGAGTATCTACTGGTGTGTGAAGAAAGAAGGGCCTGTGCATCTTTTAGTAGTTATTAACTCGCTAGCAGGCCTACGTCACTCAGGATAGTGTGTGTCTCTCACTGGGAAGAGATTTCTGAAGTCTACTACATGTACTAAAAAAGTTATATGTGTATGTAAATGTCTGTATATTATATATATTATATATATTTACTAGTGTTTTATGATACATCTTTAAAATTACTTTAATTCTTATGTATTGTATAGTATGAGAAGATGAACATAGGGTTGTTCAGTGTCTGTACTGCAGACATCAGAGCTGTCTATGTAGTATTGCCAAGCATCTTTTGATCATTGCTTACTCTTTGTGTGGTCAGCTTTGTCACTGTACCAAAATACATGAGATGATAAACTTATGAAAGACTTGTTTTTGGCTCACAGTTCTGGAGGTTCAGTCTGTGAATAGTGGGCCCCGTGGCTTTGGGCTTGGGACATAGTAGCACATTGTGGCAGGTCAGTGCGAGACAGAGCAAAACTGCTCACCTTGTGGTCAGGAAGCAAAGGGAGGGAGGGAGGGAGGGGGAGAGAGAGAGAGAGA